GAGAAAAATTGGGAAGCAATGTGGGGATTTTAATGAAATGAAAACTCATTCTTAAGGTTATATTAAGAATGAATAGTAAACAGAGGGATTAAATGAATAACAATACTAGATTTAACATATATTAAATTTATAAGGAGATGTTTAGTGAGTTAAAAAAGTAACAAAAGTAAGCCATTAAAAGAAAGTGATGAGAGGTATAATTTATTAGAGATTATATGTTTAAATTTCTGGCCGTGGTGATTCAAAAGGAAGGGAAGAAAATACAAGTATTAAAATTTTAGTTAATCTTTTAAGAATAAGAATATAAAAAAGAAAAAAATTATTTAAGAGTTCAAGAATTTATGAAAAAAAGCAATAATTTTTAATTTTATAAACAAATTAATAATCACTATTAACAAAAAAAGAAAGTATGATTGAAATTTTAAAGCATATCCATGATTCTTACTTTGTGGTAAAACTTATGATTAGAAATTAGAATACGTTGGCATTTAAAATACGACAAGTAATTAGTAGGAAGTGGAAGAATAATATTTTAAATACTGCACACACAATAGATGCTGATGTAGAAAAATTAAATTCTCTCTGACCCATAAGTTAGGTTACTACTAGTGTCCACACATTACTCTCCTTTCTTCCTTCCTTCCTTTTTTTTTTTTTCTCATCTTTTCAATGGGGCCGCTGGAGCGCATTTGTTTAGGGGGAAGCTTTTAGCTAGTTCTATACATTTTTTTATAAAAAAAAAAAACTACATAGAAAAGAAACAGTAAGAATCTTCTCTTGGTGTCGTTGAGAGTTGATTGTGGTAATTCCTCTGGATATTCTTGTGAATACAAGATAGGCGATGAATAAGGTGGAGTACGTGCAATTATCCTAAAATTTATAGAAGCAAAATTATGGATGTTTATAAAAAAAGGTAATCAATCAAAATCAAATACTATTAGTAAATGTACATTTTTTATGGGAAATATATTTATCATGTTATATATGAGATAATTTCATCTCATGCATACATAAAAAATTGGTGGAATTTATTTTCTCTCTTTTATTCTTAGTGGATCTCACTCATTTTAATATGTATTGTATGGGATAAAATTATCTCATACAACATAATGAATGCGCAGTGTATGTGAATTTTTTATTAAATAGATTTCATAATTAATTAATCAATAAGATTTGAGATAATGTGAGGCTAAATGCATTGTTGTTAAAATCTCGATTTATCACTACGATTTTACGTTTTTACGATTTTTTTCATCAAAACGATTTTACTAATATTCCAAACTTTTTTACGTTTTTACGATTTTTTACAATTTTTTTACATTACGATTTTACGTTTTACGATTTTTTAATCTCCATCCGATTTTACTTAAGATCTCGATTTTAACAATATTGGCTAAATGTGTTGATTAATATTATTCAAAAGAAAATTGTATTACCAAATGATAAATGATAGTAGCTCAGTTAGTGCATGATAATTGAGCAGCTGAGAGTGTGAATATGTGTTCATTTTTTCTCTAATATTATTTTTAGGATATGTTTAAAACTTTAATCCAGGATCTGTCCGGAACAGAATTTTTTCTTGTGGAACATACGTGTGATATGACTTATATATGCATTTAACTTATCCAATTTAACTTATAACACCTTATTTTGACGAGTTCATGTCTTATTTAGCGGAAGAGCAATTTAAAATCATGTTTTAAATTCACACTTTTCCGTTTCAAATCGAAATGGATGGTTTGCATATTGTCACACATGTACCATTCATTATAATTATTGAGTCCGGAGTAAAATTATTAAATGAAATGATGTTTACCCTAACCCTAAGGTTTCTTAAATGATTAACTATTGGGTCCGGAGTAAAATTATTATTATTTTAATTTCGTATTGTTAAATATGTTTTTTTACTGTTAAATATATATACACTCTTTTTTTTTGGTATCCTAAATATATATACACTTATTAAGATTTTTTCACTTAAGAAATATTAGAAATTTGCAATGAAGGGAATATATATTAAATAATGTAGTAAAATAATAGAAAGTTTTTATTCATCATCTTAAAATTTCTACTCTAAATTCCTATATGAAATTCAAAAATTACATATGCATGATCATCAAAAAAATAAAATAAAATAAAGAATATATTATATTGTTCTTTATTTTATTTTATTTTATTTTTGCTAGTATTAATTTCTTTTTGTTATTTTAATATAATAAATGCTATACTTCATATTTAATTTTCATTTTTTTTTTGCATAACCATTTTTTTAATGTACCAAGCTTAAAGTATATTTTGATGAAAAAGATAGTTGATAAATTTACATTTTTAAGAATATGATTATATACAATTTAAAATATAAAAATTTATGATTATTTTTTCCATTTTGATAAATATGATTATTTTTATATGATTATATTACCTATCAATATACAAAGGGAAAAATATATATCCTTTTAGAGGAAAAAATATATATATCATTTTAGATCCTAACCGTTGATTTTCATCCATCAATGGTTATAATCTATTGGGTCAAACTTAACGGGCCAAATTTATTATTAATTAATTAATAATTTTGATCCAATAAATCAGTGGCGGAGCCAAGATTTCATTTCAGCCGGGGCCAAAAAATTTGACACATCAAATTATCAAAACTATTAGGAAAAAAAATTATCATAAATTCTAGCATATTTTTCTAAATTATTTACTAAATAATATCACATAATATTGAAAATTTAAATAAACAATAGGCAACTATTATATATCAAAGCAAATAGCCTAATACATCTAACGTATTCTTTTAAAAATTCTCACTATTTAACGTTATATATCAAAAATTCTCATTATATATCACATTTAACGTTACAAATAGCCTAAACGTATATCAAAACAATAGGCTATTAAATGAATAATAATTTTTAAAAAATTCAGTAGCGGCCCAGGCCCCATCTATGCACTACGTGGCTACGCCACTGCAATAAATTATATTCGTTGATGGACGAAAATCAACGGTTAGGATTTAAAATGATATAAGCTTATATCCTTTAAAATGATATATGTTATTCCCGTATATAAAATATAAAACCCCATTTTTTCATACACAAATTCACATACAATTCAATATTTCTACGTATTAATTATCTTCTTTTGTCCGTTTTAACACTGTTGCATTTTATCATCTTATTTATATAATAAAGAAGACACCTTGATATGTATAAAAAAAAAAACAAAAAAAAGACAACTAGATTTACTCGTATTCCATTTAATTAGTTAAACCGAAATAAATCAACTTGCATACTAAAGAAACACCAAAGTGCATTCACTATTACATTTAACAAATATCAAAGGACCCGCTAGTTTCATGGTATTGAGAAAGGGTCATTTTTTCTGTCGTGACTATAGATTTTTTGGCGCAGTAGATATAAATGATGTGGGATCTAATTTTTTTTTTTTTAAATCAGAATCCACGTACATATTCTGATTTTATTTAGTGTATTTTTTTTTTTCACTAGAGAGTTATATTTTCCATTGATAAATTATTATATATACAAGCATGCTTTTTTCATGTTATAGGAAGATGGCAAAGTAGGTTTTCAACTACTTTCTAAAAATATATTTGTGAACAAAAAAATTTCACTAAAAAGAAAGTGTGATATTATGTAAAGAATTAATTTAACTCAGAAACTTAAGTTATTAGGTGAGATTACATTAATATTTTTATATATCTCAACAATCTATAATTTACCTTATCTCATAAAAATAAATAAATAAATAAAGTGAAAAGGTGGACATCGCTGCTTAGATGGAAATAGCAAAAAAGTACAAAAAGTACTTTGTACTTACCAAAACAACAAGTGCAAAGGTTTTGTTTCGCTTATTTATTTTACGAGTTTCAATTTCTACATGCAATAAATTTTTTTCCCCTATATTATAGACATATTTTATGTAGGGCCTATATTTATTAAAAGAGAAGAAGAAGATATTACACAAAAATCAAAGGATTACTAGTAGAAAAAAATAATTTTCATACAACATGAAAACATGTTTTTTCTTATTTTATATGTTATTTTTGTGGTAAAATATTAAGAAAACTTATGATAGCCATGCAAATTATTCATGATTTTACTTTTTCTCTCTTAATTTTTTTTGCAACTATAAATGAAACTTGTATATTTATCAGGAAAGGAGTTTTGGATCTGAAAAGTAATTTATTTGCAAATTTTCCGAAAACAAAATAAAATTTGTTTATCAACAGGTTATATTTGTAAATATTTTATTTATAAATTTTTATAGACTACACTTTATATATATTGAGCATTTATTACCCGTAATATATAATATAATTTGTAAAAATCTTTTATTTATATTTATTAAAAGTGGATTCAAGATTTTAAATAAAAAAAGAGAAAAGAAAAAAGTAAAATTAAAAAAAGTAAAAGAAAAAAAATACAATATTGTTGTCATTTACACAAATCACGGGAAAACTACAATGCACACAAGTTTATATAACCAACGACCTGAAAAGGTACAAAAACGAATAAAACCAAATAAAACGTTCATATTTTCTCATTCCCCTTCCATACACAGTTTTTTTTTTCTTCTCTTTGAATAAACAAAACGTTCAAATTCACATAACCCAAGAAGAAAGCTTGCTTGCAGATTCCCTATACTCTCTTCATGCTATTAATACAGCAACACTCTCTCCCTCAAAAGTGAACACAAGAGGGGTTGTTCTTCACTCTCACCCAAAAAGGTTACTGCTTTATCATTTTCTCACTGATGCTACTTGTTTTTCCTAAACAAAGCACTATGCTTTTAGCGGGGTGTTTCCTTCACTGATAGTACTCTCTGTGAATATTAAAGGGAAAGTCTTGAACTTGAGAATGGAGTATGCGGATTGGTGAAGAATTGTTCTCAGTTTCTTGTTCATACTTGCTGGGGTGGCTTTGGATTCAGCTGGGTCTTCAGTTTTTTTGTACTTTGTTTCCCTAAAATCCCAGATGGGGAACATTTATTTGGCTCATTTTGTGGTGTTGTTTTGGTTGGGGATGCTTGTATCTTGCTTGTGTCAAGATGTTTCAGATGATGCTACTACGGCTGTGTATATCGTTGCTCTGAGACAAGCTCCTGTTTCTCATTACTATGGTGAGTTGAGAAGAGTACCCAATGGCTTCAAACATGATGATTCTGGGAGAACTCAATTTCAAAAACCAAGGTATCCCCAAGCTATTTGGTGTCTTGTGTTCTACCCCCTGAGTGTTTTGCTTTTCTTAGGTGTTTTATGGAAAGATTTTGCTTAGTATTTTCTGTCATTTTTTTTTGGATCAATTTGGGCTTGCATTGCATGGTGTGCTGTGTTCTTTTAAATCAAGGATGTTTAGCTTCCCAGTTCTTTAGTTTCTTTTGTCCCAAATCATTGACGCTTCTTCTGGAAGCTATGTATTTTTGCTAAGATGATAAGTATTACTTAAATGATTGATTATTATAAGTAAATAATAGATTGTTTGTTTGAAACACATCATTACAGTTGTTATTGATATTCTCAATTCTAAGTACTTTGCCTCATCCTTCTTTTCCTTTATCCATTTTCAAGACTATTGAGCTAGTTTATGAAATCCAGTGCATTTAATTTGAGAGATATGCTCATTTTTTTTCTTCTTAATTTTGTTTTTAAGATATGATAACATCACGAAGACGGACAAGAGATATGGCTCTTACATTTCCCGAGTTCATGATTCTTTGTTGAAGAAAGTATTAAAAGGAGAGAAATATCTGAAGCTCTATAGCTACCATTACCTGATAAATGGATTTTCTGTGCTGGTTACCCAACAGCAGGTATGATATTAGTTTCGGACATCATGATTATGTCTTTATTTTGTAAAGAATTATGTGTTCAGCTACATGTGTATAGTTGTTTTTTTTATATTTATGATTTGGTTTGTCATTTTTGTGTTCTCCATATTTCAGCACTATCAGTTCATTTTTTAATTTACTGCAACAAACATATTCTTAACTTTTGAAATTCCTGAATCATGAAGGCAGAGAAACTATCAAGGAGAAGTGAAGTGTCCAATGTGGTTTTGGATTTTTCTGTAAGAACTGCAACTACCCATACTCCACAATTTTTGGGTCTGCCACAGGGAGCATGGTTTCAAGATGGTGGGTTTGAAACTGCTGGGCAAGGAATTGTTATTGGGTTTATTGACACTGGCATAGATCCAGCACACCCTAGTTTTAGTGATAATAAATCTGAACATCCATATCCTGTTCCTGCTCATTTTTCTGGTATATGTGAGGTTACTCGGGATTTTCCGTCGGGTTCTTGCAATAGGAAGCTTGTTGGCGCCCGTCATTTTGCAGCATCTGCTATAACCAGAGGAATATTTAATTCAACTCAGGACTATGCTTCTCCCTTTGATGGCGATGGCCATGGCACGTGAGTTTTTGGCATTTCCAAATGTGCATGATAGCAAAGTCTAAGCTGTCAGCCTTTTTCTATTACTTCTACTGCTACTACAAATTATCTTGATTTATTTTGCTATACCTTCATTCTGGTTTTTAAGTTTCTCTCGTGTACTTAACATTGGTAAATTATGTCTAGCTTCTAGTTATTAGAATTATGAACTCGCTAATGTCTTGTCTCTGTTCCTTGAAGCTTCAATAATATGGAAAAAGAGTTCATTGTTGAGAATTGTTCTGGAATTGCAATTGTCTAAGATGATTTTGATTCTCACTTGAAAATAAACTTATATTTTCATATCTGACTATCGTTACATTGCTTTCAATCACAACATAATTAGTTATGTTAACTAGACGCAGCACAAACTAAGAATTGTCCATTTTGCTTCTCTTTTAACTAGTGTCCGTTCTTATGTATTTATAATACACAGGCATACCGCATCTACTGCAGCAGGAAACCATGGGATTTCAGTGATTGTTGCTGGGCATCACTTTGGGAATGCTAGTGGGATGGCTCCTCGTTCACAGTAAACAATCTGGAACTATGGCTAAGTTATTTAATTTTATTTTTGTGTACTAATCATTACTTTTAAAGCTACAATGATAATACGTAAAGTGCTTGCTGCTGGAGTGTTGTGATTATGGGACTAAATTGTGCATTTTATTTTGTGATGTAATGCTTAACTGTGCATTAGTAGTTCCTTGATTTTTTCTGTTGACATATATGATGCCCTTTTGGTCCAAAATAGTTGAAACTTGAATGTGGGAAATGGAGTGGAATCTGGAATTAATTCTCATACAATCCCCCAATGATTTTACTCGTCTTGCTATTCTTGTTTGGGAGACTAATGTAGGATCATACTTGAAATTACTACTAAACAATTTTGAAGCTATAGAGAGAAGTTACAGAGCAATGCAGTGTCACATGAGATTGGAAACTTTACCATGAAATATGGGCTGTCAAGGATTGATAAGAGAAAGTTCAGTCATGACAGTTGATGGTGAAAACAATTTATGGCTTCCCTTATCGCTTCGAATTAATAGTTGAAAGAGAAGATACCAGAATGGACCAAAAGACTTGAATAATTACAGATTTGAGAAAAGAATGGTAAATAAAATCAAAAAGAAAGTGCAGCTCTGGTAAAAGAAATAGAAATTTAACTAAGGCAAGTACCTCAAAGTCTTTTTTCTCGAATAGAGGTGCTTAACTATGTGCTGAAGCGGAGTATCTGACCGAGAGCATCGATCATCAAGTATTAAGGACTATTTCTGGTGCCTCATCTGAGAATGTAGGAAAGTATGCCAGTGACTTTTCCGCTTCATTGTTTTTTTAAATATAAGATCTTTAAGTATTTATTACCTATTAGGAGTCCTGGTTCTTTGTATTAAATCCTAGGTCTGTGAATTTAAAAGTTTCCTAGAAGTCATTCGTTGTGTCACATAAGGATCCATTCTGTTCTAAAACATTGAAAGTCAATAAATAGATTTTCCTTGTAATTTTCAGAAGAGAAAAAGAAAGTTTTTTTTTTTAATCTAAAAATTTTCTGTTTTGGCACCTGAAAAATGAAGCAAAACTCCTCCAGTAATAGGACCAAGTTTCTGAACCAAAATAAATACCTGTCAAGGATGTGGACTCCTCCCATTTCTCTTGCCCCCCTCTGCATTAACCCATAGTTCAATCAATTTTCCCTAGGTTGTGTCGTTTACCTCTATCATTTTTCTTGTTCTTCGTCCTGCAGAATGTGTTATCCCTGTAGTATTTATCTCCACGTAACTTGGTTTTCTAACAACAACAAGCAGGTTAAGTCTTTTTAGTAAGTTATTTTTGAATGATTATAGTAATTTATAAAAATGGTGTATCTGTTCTAGTTTTCATTCTCACTATTTCACGTGAAGTTTCTTATTTTATTTTTTGTAAATTTTATGCATGATTTGCATTTCAATCTTTTACAGCATCGCTGTTTACAAAGCATTATACAAGGGCTTTGGAGGATTTGCTGCAGATGTTGTTGCAGCTATTGATCAGGTACATATGTAGTTTATTTAGACAAGTGATACATTTTTATGCAAATCATTTATGTGTCAGTAATAAATGTTAATTTTACTACAGAAGGTCATATTTTGCTCTTTTTCTTCATTGTCTGTGATTTAGGTTTTCCTTGCCCTAGCATGTGCTAATGTAAAGGATAGTGTGATTGCCTGATTAAGTATATAACTACTGTTATCTATTTTTCAAGGGCCTGTTTATTGGCTTCATTTTCCATTTGGACCCTAATTGAGTGATTAGTACTGAACAGCAGGATTCTTAATTTACCCCTTGGGACAATCCAATTTCATTTGATTTTCAATGTTATTTTGTCATCTGTCCACGGCATGCCTTTCAATTTTCTAAGAATCTGCCTGGTTTTGAATTGAAAGAGTTTTTGGTAAATAGTGATAATGTCCTTGCATGTAGCATTCACAATTTATTTATCTGAAATTGCATGCAGCTTTATTTTTCCTGTAAGGCTAATAATAGTATGATTGAGTGTTTACAGGCAGCTCAGGATGGGGTTGACATAATAAACTTGTCAATTACTCCTAATAGACGTCCTCTTGGGGTTGCAACTTTCATCAACCCAATCGACATGGCATTGCTGTCAGCTGTAAAGGCTGGTATTTTTGTAGTGCAAGCTGCAGGAAATACTGGACCATCACCAATGAGCACGTCCTCTTTCAGTCCATGGATCCTTACTGTTGGTGCCGCCTCTCATGACCGGGTTTATAGCAACTCCATATTTCTTGGAAATAATGTAACCTTACCTGGAGTTGGACTTGCACGTAAGCTATTTCTCTGTTCCATATTTCTGCTTATTAATGTTACATTGGTGAAGATCGTCCTTGAGTTATAAGATTAGTCAATTGTTGATGTAAGCAATTTTTAAAAAAATATGCCTGCTGGATCTGATTTATGACCCATTTTTGTCATTTTTCTTTGATTATTTTGCTCAGCTGGCACATATGAGAACAAACTTTATAAACTGATTCATGCACACCATGCTTTGAACAATGACACAATGGTTGCTGATGATATGTATGTTGGTGAGTGCCAAGATGCAAGCAAGTTCAATCAGGATTTGATCCAGGGGAACCTCTTAATATGCAGCTATTCAATCAGGTTTGTGTTGGGGCTCTCTACTGTCAAACTGGCCTCAGAAACAGCCAAGAACCTTAGTGCAGCTGGTGTTGTCTTCTATATGGATCCTTTTGTGATTGGTTTTCAGCTTAATCCAGTTCCAATGAAAGAGCCTGGCATAATAATTGCATCCACAAATGATTCCAAGGTGCATTATCCAATTTCCCCCCTTAATATGCATGATATTCTTTTTTTTTTTTTAATGGGCTTGTACTTTACAATATATGACATCATCTTCGATGCACTCTTTTTATGTACTTTATGTTTAAAGTTAAAACTTCTGTTGTCTATGTAAAAACAAGGGGTGGATTTGGTCAATATATAAGTCAACTTCTTTCTCTCTGTCTCTTTTACATGTGGATGAGGAATGACCCCCTGACAGTTTCACTTTTATTTTCAATTGTTCAGATTTTAATGCAATACTACAATTCTTCATTGGAAATTGATGCTGTTTCAAAGAAAATTGTTAAATTTGGGGCTGTTGCCAGTATCTGTGGTGGAATAAAAGCAAATTATGGTAATGCTGCTCCGAAGGTTATGTATTACTCTGCCAGAGGTCCAGATCCAGAGGACAGTCTTCCTCACGAAGCTGACATTTTGAAACCTAACTTGATAGCTCCTGGAAGTTCTATATGGGCTGCTTGGAGTTCTCTTGGCACCAGTTCGGTTGAATTTCTAGGTTTGTAAAGTTTTTAAAGGGAAACCAAATGTAGTTAAGTTTAAGGATTTCTTTTGGTACCTGTCATGTTACAGGTATATAAAACCATTAATGTAGCAAATTGGTTCTTTACATGGTATCAGAGCCTCGTGTCCTGGGTTAGATTCTCGCTGCCCCTCATTTTCTTTGTGAAATTTCTTAGCATAGTAGGTTGAGTCTGATGCATTATCCACCTTTCAAGTCTAATGGACTCTCTTGTGATGAGGCGTGTTAGAGATATATAAAACCATTAATGTAGCTTTACCCAACAGCTTAAGCTTTTGGGTTGAATTGGTTCTTTACATATCATATTTTAAACAAACTGTAAAGAACCAATTCAAACCACTGGTGGATGAGGGCTTTTTAATGGTTTATACTATTCTTTAACATGTCCCCTCACACGAGAGCTCACTGGGCTTGAAGGGTGGACAATGTACAGGCCCACCTACCTGTGCTAAGAAAATTCCACAAGAGAAAGTTGGGGGCGGTGAGGATTTAACCCGTGATACCGAGGCTCTGATACCATGTAAAGAACCAATTTAACCCAAAAACTTAAGCGAGTGGATGAGGGCTTTTTAATGATTTATACTATTTTCTAACACAAACATTTCTTTAAATAATAACCTATGCTACATTTTTTCTTGTATGCACGTTGATAATGTGAATTGAACATCTTATCTGCATTGCCAACAGGTGAGAATTTTGCAATGATGTCTGGCACAAGCATGGCTGCACCACATATTGCTGGCCTTGCTGCACTAATTAGGCAAAAGTTCCCCAATTTCAGTCCTGCAGCCATTGGATCTGCACTTTCTACTACTGCTTCTCTGTATGACAGGAATGGTGGGCCAATAATGGCTCAGCGATCATATGCCTCTCCTGATGAAAACCAATCTCCAGCAACTACTTTTGACATGGGAAGTGGTTTTGTGAATGCAACTGCAGCATTGAATCCGGGTTTGATTTTTGATTCCAGTAAGTCAATTAAGCTTTTTGATCATCGTATTTCAATAAAAGTTCTCCTGTTTCAATATATAGAAAATGGCATGAAAATTAAGGTATGAGATTGTAGTTTAGGTTAGATAGATATGACAGTCCATGATAATGGCAGAGCCAGGACTCTCAATTCTATTTGTGGTTAATCTTCTACACATTTTACGTCGCAATTTTTTTTTTTCTTTTTTGATGATTTAACACAGGAAGTTAAAATGTCAATGGTTAAAATTTAAAATTATGATAAATAATCTAACATAAATGAACCTGATTTTTAAAGTTCATCTTCTGGTTTTTAAATGTCATCATGATAAATGATTTACCTACCTAGTGTTTAATGATCTACCTCTAGTTTATGTAAATTGTTTGATTTATGAACCTGGTTTCTGAATGTGGCATACATGTTTCTTTGCAGGTTATGAGGATTACATGGCATTTCTATGTGGTATCAATGGTTCAGCTCCTGTGGTGCTAAACTACACTGGTCAAAGTTGTTGGCTTTATAATAAAACTGTATATGGTCCTGACCTCAACTTGCCCTCAATCACCATATCAAAGCTAAACCAATCTAGAGTAGTGCAGAGGACAATCCAAAACATAGCCGAAAATGAAACATACAGTGTTGGTTGGAGTGCTCCTTATGGGGTTTCAGTGAAAGTATCTCCAACTCACTTCTCTATTGCCAATGGTGAGAGGCAGCTCTTGTCTGTACTCTTGAATGCAACCGTTAACAGCTCTGTTGCTAGCTTTGGGAGGATTGGGCTGTTTGGTAATCAAGGTCATGTTGTCAACATTCCTCTTTCAGTTATGGTTAAAATCTCCTATAACTTAACTACCAGCTAACAAGGATAACATTTATTCTTATTTAAGTAATTCACTTAGATTTATGTGTTTCTCAAGATGTATTAACTATTTTTTCATTCATTATCATGTAAAGTTGTTAAAGGTTCTCATTGTATAGTTATAGATGTGATCAGTCTTGATTGGAGTTGCTTCTTTCCCAGCATGAAAACGGGTTGTGATGGTCCTTTCAATAATAAATTTTGTGGTTGGTGACCACCATCTCTATTTTGTTGTTGTTGTTGTTTTTTGTTTTTTTGTCATTTATATTTAATTATTGCATGTTACAATTTCGCTACGTTTACAAAAGTTTCTGACTCATTCATTCTAGGTTTGAACAGTTTGCAAAAGCTGATATGGAATTACCTTAGCAATTTTGGATGAGAAGTAGGTATTGCCTATAAATATGTTATCTTTGGATGTCACGTGATGTACTTCTACTCCTTAATTGTCTTAAAGAAACAGACTAGAAAAAAACTTTTACTTATTGCAAATGACAGATTATCATTATACAGACAAAAATCATGCCACACTTAGTTAATAGATTCCTTCCCAATGATATATGTTAGCAAGATCTATTTGACATTACAAGTTCTCCTAATTTATTTCTACAATATGTTTATGATTAAAGAAAACTAATGAAATGTTATCCTCTTGACATTAGAGGAATGAAAAACCGAGAAGTACCGAGCTTCCTCTTCATTACGATGCTCTAAATTGACAACCTAATCTTATTGTGAAATAAACTTTGCTTATGGATGTGACTCTTGTTCGTGGGTACAAATGGCTCTGCTAGAAAACCAGAATTCTTCCAAATGTCACACCTCATGTCAGTTTTCAATGAGCATTCGAGTAATTTAATTACTGATAGATTTAGAAATTCATTCATGATGCATGAACGTAGTGTGCTTTTAAGAGAATTTGTCTAACATGGGATAGGTAATAACTGAGGCCACATGCGTTACTAGAATCGTACAAGATATTACCAAGTTTAATATTGTGGATTAACTTCAGCAGAAAAATATAAGTGGAATCATTTACTAATGACCTCATATTAACTGGTTAATCTAACACATCAATTAAATACAGACATAATCAAAGTCTCGTTGAGTAAATCATTTGGATGATATCATAATTCGTGTGAAAATATTGTCGTAATTCTAATCGGCATATTGATAATCGATTGCTCCCTTGGCTCTCAGTTTCAAGATCATTCTTCACATGAAGTCGAATTAGCTTAAGTTAGTGTTTTTTTTTGGTAATCAAATACATATACCAACAAATATTGCTGTCTTTGGGGATATTATTTTTGTGATTGTGGAAATAAAATAAAATGACGTGAGGAGAGGTATTGGGATATGCTGTGGTATATTCTGAGACCATATAATAACGAAAATTGGGTGTGGTTATTATTAGGGGTTTTCGCGGTCTGGATTGGATCGGTTTTGGAAGCAAAAATCATCCGATCCAATCCCTTCGGTTTGATCATATAATTATCCATTCGGTTAGGATTTTTTTTCAAATCCGATCCGATCCAATTCAATTTTTTTCGGTTTGGATTGGATCGGTTTTCGGTTTTCTGAAAATCCTAAAATTTATTTCATGATTATTGTGCAACTAACAATTTTTGTATATATTGACTTTGTAAAAAAAAAAATTTAAAATACAAAAACATTAGTAAACTAAATATAGTTTTTTTGTTTGTTTGGGCAATGAGATATGAAACTCTACAAAGATAAAATTTTGTTGATGAGACGTGACTAAATTTTTTCTTGGGTTTAGTTGATGGGTTAATGGGTCTTGGGTTTAGAAATTTTTAGGCTATGATTAGGAAAAGACCTAAATAAGTAGAGGGAAATTAATATATTGGATCGATTTTTATCAACCCATCTAAAAACTGATCCAATCCAATTAAAATTTGCGATTTTTTTTTCGGTTTTCGGTTTTTTGATTTTTGGTTTATTCGGTTATCGGTTTTTCGATTCGATTTAAATCGGTTTGGATTGGTTAATGAACGCCCTGATTATTATAAAGGCATAACGACAAATTACAATAGTTGAAACTTTCGAAGAATTGTATAATTTATGTCGTATCTTTCAAACAAGTAGTAAGTTATTGGCTTATTAATAGAGTCTGAGTCTAAATAATTATGCCAACGGCTAGTCCATGTTGAAACTTTCCACGAGCCTGTCTTAATTTATGTAGGAGCATCTTTCAAGCATGAATTAAAAAAGCATATCTTGGATCTGGCAAGCAATTCCACTTCTACCAACGCAAATTTTATAATATATCTCAGTGACCCAGTCACTGTGAGCATGTGAAGTCAATGACTATGGCCTAAGATCTGATATGAGAACCTCCATATACAACAAACACTTTTACAAAGAACAGAGTTTTACTGCAGAGCATACAACCATTTCCTTACTTTTCCTCTCCTTGAGTCTGATCACATATTCTTGATATTATGGCGGGTGCTCTAGTGGGTGGAGCTTTTCTCTCTGGTTTTATTAATGTTGTTTTCGACAGGCTCTCTTCACCTGAGTTTGCTAACGTCATCCGAGGCAAGAAGCTTGACAACAAGTTGCTTCGAAGGTTGAAGACTACCCTGTATGCGGTTCAGGCCGTGCTTAATGATGCTGAGCATAAACAAATTTATGATGCTGCTGTGAAGGACTGGCTCGATGATCTCAAAGATGCTGTCTATGTGGCTGATGACTTGCTGGACCAAGTTTCCACTGAAGCTGCCACTCAGAAGGAGGTAAATAACTTTCTGTCTCGATTTCTCAATTTGAGAGATAGGAAGCTGGTAAGTGAGATTGAAGATATCACTAGCAGGCTAGAAGATATAGTAAAACACAAAGATATTCTTGATCTGAAAGAGATTCCCGGAGAGAACTTGTCATGGAGAACTCCATCAACATCTCTAGTAACAGGAAATGTGTTTGGCAGGGAACAAGATCAAGATGCTATAATAAAAATCTTAACTGGGAATAGTGAAGATAAAGTATCTGTGGTCCCTATTGTGGGCATTGGTGGGGTTGGAAAAACCACTCTAGCCCGATGGGTGTTCAACAATGAGAATTTGATGAGGGAGTTTGATTCAAAAGCATGGGTTTGTGTGTCCGAAGAATCTGATATTGCTAAAATTACAAAGACTGTAATAGAGGAACTTACTCGTAGTCCTTGTAATTTGCCTACTCTCAATTTACTCCAAAATGATTTGAAGGATAAACTGACAGGAAAAAAATTCTGTGTTGTTTTGGACGATGTTTGGAATATTGATGCTGATGGATGGAATAATCTTAAAGCGCCTTTTCAAAACGAAATTACAGGAAGTAAAATTCTTGTAACAACTCGTAGCGATTCGGTTGCTTCAGCATTCAAAAGTGCAGATGGTTCATCAGTCCAGACATGAACACCTTACCGCCTGCACGAGTTGTCTGACCAACATTGTTGGTCAATACTTGCAAAGAATGCATGTTTTCCAGAATCTGGTGGCAATCCAACTCTAGAAAATATTGGCAGAGAGATTGTTGAGAGGTGTAAGGGATTACCTTAAGCTGCAGAAACCCTTGGTCGCCTCTTGCAAACTCATGAAATCGATAGCTGGAATTCTATTTTGAACAGTAAATTTTGGGAACTTCCTATAGAGGAGAGTAAAATTATTCCAGCATTGAGGATAAGTTATTACCATCTCCCTCCACACTTAAAACGTTGTTTTGTTTATTGTTCATTTTTTCCCAAGGATTATGAATTTGATAAAGATGAATTAATCTTATTATGGATGGCAGAAGATCTTTTACCGCAACCAAAGACAACAGAGACATTAGAACAAGTTGGTTCTAGGTATTTTAATGATTTAGCCTCCAGATCATTTTTCAAACAGTTTAATACTGATGATGACCAGTCTTTTGTGATGCACGATCTCATGCATGACTTGGCAATTTCTGTTGCTGGAGATTTCTATTCTACATTAGAAGAACTTGGGAATGATGACAAGATCACAATTCGTACTCGTCATTTGTCGTGTGAAAGTATTTCTGAGGACATTTCTGCCATTGATAAAGCAAAATCTTTGAGGACATTTCTGCCAATCGATGTCTCGGACTATTCATTCAACTTTGAAAGTGCAGCATTCACATTATCGAAGTTAAAGTACTTAAGAGTTTTGTCATTTTATGGCTCTGGGGAACTTGATGCATTGCCTGATTCAATAGGTGAATTGATCCATCTGCGTTACTTGGATCTCTCTTTGACAAGTATCAAAGCATTGCCAGAATCATTGAGTAATTTGTACAATCTGCAGACGTTGAAGCTGTATTTTTGTGATCAGCTGACTATGCTGCCAAGTGAAATGCGAAATCTTGTGAACTTGCGACATCTTGACATTAGAGATACTCCTTTAAAAGAGATTCCTCCAGGAATGAGCAAATTAAAACATTTGCAGCTTTTAGGTGACTTAGTTGTGGGCGAGCATGAAGAGAATGGGATAAAGGAATTGGGATCACTTTCAGGTCTTCATGGATCACTTTGTATTAAGAAATTGGAGAATGTTACGATTGATGAAGCAGGGGAAGCAAGGATAATGGATAAGACCCACATTGACGAATTGACGTTGGAGTGGTCTTCGGATGGTGATACGACTACAACCAGCATGTCCACTGAAACAAAAATATGTGACAAGTTACAACCTCACAAAGGAGTGGAAGAGCTGAGCATTACTGCGTACAGGGGTACAATATTTCCAGATTGGGTAGGGCATTCTTCTTACCACAATATGACTAGTGTATATCTCATCCATCGTCTTAATACCAATTATTTTAGTTTACTGTTTTCTTAGTTTAATTATCTTTTCATTTACAAACCAACCATCACAATCAATCATTTTACTCACTTTCTTCACCTAAATAATCATTACTTGACACTTATCTCCGTGGCAATGATACTTGGACTCACACATCCCTTTATTACTTGTGACACGTGCACTTGCGTATTTGTGTGAT